TTGAAGACAAGTTAAGGGTCATGTTTATGTATTATGCCTAATTAATACATGCATAACCAATGCATACATAACTAATACATGCATTACTAATGCAAACACTACTAATACACTCTATTTAACATTATTTATTAAAGTTTTAGGATTTAAGAGTTGAGGAGTAAATTTAAATTATTAATCTCAAAGAATTTACATGTATGAAATTTTAGATTCGATCCTTACAATCATTTTTTTTTTAAAAGAGTTAAATCATCCAAATTCTTCGTCAGTCCCAATTTATGTGACACTTTTCAAATTTCAAGATTCAAACAAGCTTATTTTGATCGTAATTTTTTCATATATCTTTTAAATATTTTTAATTTTCAATTATTGTGATTTATAATATTTTTTACTTGAATAATATAAATACATTTCAAAAAATTTGAATATTTCATGCGCAAATTGTCGATCAAACTTAATCTGTTTAACTCTCGAAAAATGAAAAATATCACATAAGTTAAGACAAAAAGAGTATTATTTAATCATGAATATCATATCTTAACTATTCATTAATTTATTTATTTATCTAAAATATTATATCACTTCTTTAATATTAAAACCCACATCCATGCTGAGTTAAACTACACATAGCTATTATTGAATGAAAATAATATACAACCAACTCAACAATTGATCTGTTTTTAGTTTTTAATACTCTAATAATTAAATAATTGAGATAAAAAAGTCGTGAAAAAAATAATAATTTAATTATATATATATATTTATTTTTTTAAACTATTTAACTCCAAAAATAACGACTACACATGCAGGTACTTCAGAACAACAAAGTTAGTTATGCGTAGTTTGCTTTATTTTTTTATTTTTTCAATTCGACAGCTAACATTTGCACAGTCAATCACAACCGTTAAATTACTCATCGCCGGCGATCTGTAAACTCCGATCACTTCTCCGTGATCTGACTAACAATGTCATGGTTGGCTCGATCAATCGCCAACTCCCTGAATCTCGACGACGACACAAACGACGTCGTTCCACCTCCTAATCGAGATCACTCCACTGACAATCCAAAATCGGAAAATCATCAACAAACAGAAGATTCATCTTCACCGACATCGCCTTCACGTGGCGTTAAAGAGGATCTGTCGGAGCTAACTAAAACACTAACCAGTCAATTTTGGGGAGTCGCGTCATTTCTAGCTCCACCGCCACAATCCGATTCGTATAAGCCTATTGATAACTCCAAATTGGATCCGGATGAGGAGGAATCCGACCCGGCGGCGGGGATCGTAGGTTTGCAGACTGACTTTGCTGAAATCAGTGGGAAGTTCAGGAGCGGAATATCTTTACTGTCGAGTAATATGGCGGTGTCGGAAATTACGAAAATGGCGTCGAATTTACTGCAGTTGGGACCGGAAGAGGAGGAAGAGGGGAAAGGCTTTGATCTGGACAAAGGTGTTGTTGGTGTTACGGAAGAAGTAGTGGCTTTCGTAAGGGACATTGCGATGCGTCCTGAAACTTGGTTGGATTTCCCTTTGCCCGAAAATGCAGATGATGAAGGTGATTTTACTTTTTCATTTTCTTTTATTTGTTTACTCTTATTTTGAATTTGTTGAAATGCTTCCAATATGTTATTGATTGTGAGATCATTGGTCTGCTTTGGCTGCGATAGAGTGGGTAAGACACACATTGGTTGGGAAATGAAATTGGTGGTTTGCCTATATGAACCTGCACAATCCTTTCCTTCATGAGTTAGCTTTTGAGTTGAGTTAGGTTCATATGTCATATATTTAGGTTCATTCATGGTTGGGCTCTTGGTTCAAGCTCTAGTTGAGCTTGGGTGTGAAGGAGGTGTAAGAGTGGGTTAGAGTCCCACGTTGGTTAGAAAATGAACTAGTGATTTGCTTATATGGACTTGAGTAATCCTTTTGGGGTTGAGTTAGGCTCAGATGTTATATGTTTAGAGGCGGCTTTGGTATCATAAGTAACATTACTTTGATACGAGAATAATTCGTCCCAAAAGTAAACTATTTAGATCAATAGTGAATTTGGATAGGTGCAACTCTCCAAGCTGCAACAGATGAACTTCCAAATTGAATAGGAATTTATCTAAAAGAAATCTCTAATAACAGAGTGTAGATCGTACTACTTGTAAACAAAAATCTTTATTCACGTGTAAATTGATTAATGCAGGTTTCAGAGGGTTCTGAAACTACTATCTCTATTTTTCTGCTACCTCCCACCAATACAGGTAGTGGGTAGCGTAGCTAGGAATTTTATGAAGGGTGTCCAAATATTATATAAGTAATTTTATTTTTTTTGATGAATGGATGCGTTGAAAAAATTAAAATTGAACTACATAATATTAATA